TTGGCGCGAGCGAGAGTGGTGGTGATGCGACCATGGCGGATGACTTCGGTGGTGAGGGAGCGAAGGAGAGCCTTCCTCTGATCCTGAGGCAGGCCGAGCTTGGCGACGCGCTTGCCATGGCGCATCATCTCTAGACTGGACAGGGCGCTGCTAGCTCCATTGCGGGAGGAAGAGACGGGGAGTTGGGGGCCAGCGAGGAAAGCTGCGAGGCATGTCAGTGTTACATGATGTGTGTGTCTTTTCGCCCTTCGTTTTCATCGTTTTCAAGCACTAGGAACAACAAGAAAACAACACATTATCGTTATCGTCATTTACATCGCTGTCTTCATCGCTGTCCTGGCATCATCGCCCAGATCGTCATGGTTATCATCATCAAAGAAATCATATTGCAGGTTGCAACAAATTTCTTCTTGTAAGTCACATCAGGAAAGCCGATGGCCAAGGCATCATGATTGGGTAGCATGAATACGAATGTTCATGCCTTCAATGAAACACACGATAGAGGCACACAAGAGCCTTTCATATGACAGCCATGAAGCTGTTCATTGTGTGTACAGAGTGATTCTATGTGAGCCCTTGCAAGCTTCGACATAAGATGAAGGGTTCGATGTCTCATGCATACACCATCAGGGCAGAAAAGGTCCAGTAGCACGACAAGAAACCAGCACAAAAAACACAGCAAACTGACTCATTCTTCCCGCCATGTCAACTCGATCCACCGTAAACTCAGCAGACAAATTAGCATGCTATGACGTCACTCATACCAACAGCACATCCATGCTCAATCTGAGAGAAGCAGCGAACATCGCAACGGACATGAAGGGGGTGGAGCCGATGATGCTCAGCTCCAGGACAGGCAAGTGAAGGGCATCATGCAAAGAATGAGCTGAGAGGCATTAAAGGGATGGAGAGTGTTAAAAGCAAGCATGACGTGCGGGGAGACATAGACGGGTTGAATACAACAGAAGGAGCAACAAGGCAGGGCAAGGCTGGGAAGCACGGGCTGGAACTGAGGGGGCGACGAGAACAAGAGAACACAGAGGGGGTTGAGGAGGAGGGATAAGGTGGAAGGGATAGGAAGGTTGGTAAGGAGAGCGATCGCGAATGGAGGAAGCGGGTATTGTCATCACCTGCTGCTGCGGGGAGGAGGAGGAGGAGAGCGGCAAAGCGCATGGCGGAGGCCGTCGTGGGGCCACGAGACCCTCGAGAGAAGGAGGGGTGGGGGTGGGGGGAAAGGCAGACGTAAGGTGGGGTACAAGAAGGTCTTATGGGGGGTGGGATCAGTTGATATGACAGGGTGGGTCTATTATGTCAGTTTGAGGGGTACAAATTCCGGATTGCAAAAGTGGGTGGTGGGTGATAAAAGGTGGGGTGATTGTGGGATAAAGTGGGGGTAAGGGTGCAAAGAAACAGGTCGGTGGGTGGGTGGTAATTGAAAGATAAGGTGGGGTAGGGTGGGTTTCTGATGCTTGAGAGGTGGGCGGAATTTTAAAACTAAAATACAAAAATATTTCTAAACTATAATACTTTTGATAAAGTGGTACAAAGAAAAAGTCGACGATGTTACTTATCATTTTAAACTTTTATAATAAATCTCGATAGGTGATATTTAAAAATAGAATAGTTGACTCTAAAATTTCTCGCTATCAAGAAACCTACAAATCAGTATTGAAGAGTTTGTAATGGTTTATGGTACTCTGAAAAACATTGTAGGCTCTGCTGATACTGGTACCGTACCGTACAGTACAGTACAGTACCGTTCAGTACCGTACCGTTCAGTACAGTTCAGTACATTACACAGTACAGTAGTCGTACGTAGAGTGGCAGTCAGTACCGTGACAGCACACTTCTTTCAAGTCACTGTGAGCGGGCCGGGCTGGACTCACAGTCCGAGTTGCGACACTCCGTCCCGTGACTGGTGACTTGACTCGGCACTTGAGCTCATGAGTCTGGCGGCTCCGGCCCGATTCCGAACTGGAAGTTGCCAGACCGTGCTGTGTCGGACCGTAAAGGCAGCAGCACCATCGGAGAGTTCAGAGCCTATATTACAATCGCCATACGCTAGTCCTTAGCGATTCCATCCACCGAATGCTGAAAGTCGCCGCCCTGCTCGCTATCTCCCACCTTCAAGTTCATAGAGTGGTAAGGGTGTGACGGTTAAGCAAAGGATTCTAACCTTTCCTGTCGGGAAAATGGAGCATTTACCATTCGAGTAGCATTCGTAACCCCAGGTGTTGGCCTGCTCAGAAATTCACAACCAAACAACAACCGAGTTTCGTTTGTAGTTGTTTCGGATAGAATACAGGTCAAAGGAGTCTATGGCGCTCAACACGAAGACAACACGAACAACGACGATGACAAGTGCAAAGAAGAAAGAATCCGATGAACACGAAGGAGAGCAGGAAGGAAAGATAGAGAGGCAGAGAGGCGGAGAGGAAGACAGGGAGGTAGGGAGAGAGGGAAGGCAGATCTGGAGCATTCAATGAGGTAAATCTCACCCTTGTATCCACAACCCTCTTGGAGGCTCCTGGTGGTCCAGATAGGCAATCTGAGTTCTGCGGGAAGTTGTACGTGTTTGAAAGCTTGCTCAGGCCGTCGGCATTCCCCTCTGCCATTCCGCAAAGTACCCATCAGTCTCCGCTACATCAACCTCGACGCTCCTTGTACAACCTGCGTACTCCGATCCCCCAGTCCAGTAGTTGACTTCACAATTTCCTGAAGCTTGATCAGGAGAGAGAGGAGGAAAGCTCTACTGTCCCATTACCATTGGTTGTGATCCTGCCGAAGGCATCGAAGTGTGCGGCACGGACCTGCTGCTTAGTTACCCATAGAATCACACTCCCATTTCCCCTCCTACCGGCCTCGCGTACTCTGGGAAGGGCCACAGAGATCGTTCGTCGTCGTTGAGCTTGTCCGACAGGTCCTCGAGGGCCTTGCCTTCAGCCTGGCAGGTGCAGTGAGAGGTCACAGAAGGAGCATCGATCTGTCCTCAGACCTCATTCTCCTTGTCGTCGTCAGTCTCATCTGAATCGGCCGCTGCCAGGAACGTTCCTCTCTTGACTACATGGATTTTCGGGTAGCTAAAGGGCTTTCTCCCCAGCAACGAGATCTCGGGGCTGCTCAATTCTGTCCGCCCACCCGAGATGATCAACAGGGCTGATATCAGCCCGAAGCCAATCACCCCCACTACCGGGCGAAGATCCTGACCACTACAAGTTAGGGAATATCGTTACTTTGCGTGCGTGTTAGCAAGTGAACGATGTGATGGAAAGACGGGCTAGGATTGAGTGTTGTGGTATAAGCACAAGGATCTGGCTGGTTGGAGGATAGGTAGTGACAGATATCAGCAGGCATATCCAAGCACACCCCCCCCTCTCATTCCTATGTCCTCCTCCCGTATCCTCCTTACCACTCACAGCTCCATCCTCCCTTCACCTCCCTCCTCTCCTAGCCATAGCCTCCAGCTTACCGCCGCAGCTGCCATTGCCCCTTCGCACTGCTCGTATTTCTGCCCTTTTCTTCTCCTAATACAGACTCTAGCAACATCTGCTGCCCCCTGATTTGGTATGTTTAAATTGTTTTACTTTCACTCATCAGTTCCAAAAATGGTAGAGAATACAGGGCTACAACATTTTAAAAACTGATGATATAAGTTTTAAAAAGGATATGTTGTACCAAGAATCACAAAAATGTATTATAGAAAGCCATTGTTGAGTGATACAGTACTCCAATTAGGTGTCCAACCCGACATGCCGGTAAGAACGAGCAAGGCAAGCGAGGGAGAAAGGAGAGGAGAAGGGAGGGAGAGAGGAGAGGAGGGCATGACTGGATCCCTTTGCTGGATCCGAGAAGTGGAGAATGATAGAGGGGAAGTTCAGGCAAGAGCTATGTGTGCTGGAACAAGGAGGAGCTATGCTGGAACAAGGAGGAGCCCGGTGATATTGTGGAAAAGAAGAGGAAGTTGAAGATCGAATTCTTGTGCAGCTGAGACAGTTGGCTATTTAGCTAAAATGTATCTCATCAAGATGGGTGATGTGATGATTGTGCTATGTCCAATAATGGGGCTGAGAAGCAAGTGAGGATGGTGTGGATGGGTGGTTTGTTTCGGAAATAAGAAGTATCATTTATTATTGCATGGATAGAGGATCCAAGCTAAGACTGACTGATAAAATCTTCTTTTCTGTCAGCCAAAATTTGGAAGCCTGGATGCCCTCCGTGGGAAGGATGAGGAGGAAGATGACGAAGAAGCAGAGGCATTTGCTGGTTGAGCAGAAATGATGGTTTGAGTTCGAAATGATGAGCGTACCAGGCGGCATTGGGCGTGGCGGGGGTGGAAGCGGGCAGAACGTCCTCGGTGCTCAACCTTGCCGTCTTTGTGCTGTACTGACTGTTGGGGTCGGCTGGACTCGCAGATCCAAGGAAGATCATGGATCGTGCGCGAGACATCGGCGCAGTTGCAGCTTCAGAGCACGAGTCCGGGAGGTTTGGCTAAACGTGTAGGTTCGAGGAGCGCCTTTGATTGATCTCCGCAGATCCCGCGCGTTTGTTGGCTCGGGTTTCTCACTCTCTGGGGAAAGCAATCAGCCCGTGGTCGTGAACGAGGATGAGACCAAGATCAAGCACACGATCACATTCTGGAAGGAAGGGTTCACGGTTGACGATGGTCCGTTGAGGAACTTTGTGAGTTTCCACATGTGAGCGTTTTTTCGTTGATGCCAAAGGGTTCAGGATGCACCTGAAAACGCAAGTTTCTTGAATGACATCAACAAGGTAACTTCGGGAGGTCCACGAGATGTCTCAAGTCCAAGCACCTTACTCGCTCTTAGGGAAGGCTCCCTCAAGAGTTTGCGGGTGAGAAGGGGGCGTACGTCAGTCTGATAAGTCGACATGGCGAGAGCCACAAAGAGTCCGCTCCTGCTGCTGCATCGGCGGCGAGATCGTTCACTGGACAAGGTCACTCGCTGGGAGGAGCAAGCAGCAGTGCGCAAGCTGCGGCAGCGAATGCAACGGTTAGCCCACCACGTGTCTCGACAGGAGGATGTGAACGCCTTGTGCCATGCCAGGTCCAACCCCCTTCGGTTTCCATCAATGTCAACGACGCCCAGCCTTCTACCACTCTGCAGGTAACTCTCGATACTGTGCTGAGCCTTAGCCGGGCTGTTTACAGCCAGGGATCATTGGCATTTTGAACTGTTTGCTTTACAGCTGCGCTTGCACGATGGAACCAGGCTCACTCAAAGGTTCAACTTGTCTCACACAGTTGAGAATGTCTATGAGTTTGTTGCTTCCGGTCCGTTGAAGCTCTTCTGCCCACTTTGCCTGCGTGCTGACGCTTGACCTCCCAGCTACTCCGGGATTAGAATTTGACCTCATGGTGTCCTTCCCCGTCAAAAGCTTGAGGATAGAAGCCAGGTGATGACCTACATGTAAGCGATGACCTGGAGTACTGATTTCTATTCCTCTAGACCATCGAACAGGCAAAATTGCAGAATGCAGCTCTCATCCAAACTCTACGTTGAAGCCTCTATCAACTTGCCATGATCAACCGTTGAGCAGTACTGTACGGTCAGTAAACTTTTGACGGAACTTCCGTTCGTGCGGGCCCGCCGCCACACCCCCCGGAGTCCACTCGGGAACATTGAAAGAGTGGTAAGGAAGAAGAGAGATGAAAAAAGGAATGTGGAGAAGACAAGAGAAGCTTGACTAGCAAGGATTGCAAACTTCGGACTTGACTTGACAAAGTGCTGTAAGATTTTCTAGACTCTTGCCTGATTTTACCCCTATGCTGTCTAGTACATCATCCTGTTCCCTTGTCTATGGTTAGTGGCACCGGACCCGGCGTAATCAAGATGTGATAACCTGAATATGGAATTCTGTACATTGATTCACAGTGTCTGTGATTCGTGTACAATCATCGAGTGCTTGCTCTGTTGAACAAGGCATTCCTCTGTAGACCCATGCGACAAGAACTCTACAGTTGCACGGTAGCATTACGAACTGACAAAACAAGACAAGATTGATTCGAAGAACAGAATTTATTGATACTTAAATTCATCTGCACATTGTTTCATTTGTGACCAGGTTTCTGTGCAATCGAAAGCGTTGTGGAAATATCATGACAGAGGAAGAAATCGAAGCGCAGAAGAATCATTCAACGTCATGAAATATGGAAATGCAATTGTCTATGCACTTGATCATGGATATAGTCATTCATGATCAACAACGAATCTGTACAGTCATCTATGTGGGCAAGTAAAGTCACCCTTTGTGCAAACGCCTCTTCATGCATCGTTCAACGGTTGAGTGAATGTCACCCTTGCCTCTATAGAAAAATGAAGTGCATGAAACCTGACCGTAAGACTAGAAGAATACAAAGTGATTGATGACATGAAAACACATTTCTAGACAGAAAAGTCGCTCAAGGTACAGCTGGATACAAATTTCTCACAAATCATGCATTTGAGCGCAACGTGCAACCCAAGTCAATTTGAAAGAAGGTCGATCGGAGTTGATTATGTTCAATGGTGTATCCTTTGTTCCTTACCTACCTGTTCATGAAAATTTTATCTTGTCTTGGAAGCATATTTGCAAGTACACTCGCGGATTGTTTGAACCAAAGGGCAAATATTCCATTACACGATGGATGATTCAAACCTTGGCCCAACCTGCAGAGTTGAGAAAGAAGCTCGATCATCCTTACAGGTCTGGTACGACATGTCCTCATTCCGACAGCATAGCACGGTTCCTATTACCCAAAGTTAAGTTAAAATTAGTACTGTTCGGTACAGTTTTAAATCTCCTTGAGGTAACCGGGTCCGCCCCAGTCAAGTAGTAAACTCAGTCTGCGCCGCGAGGCCCCCAATAATGGACAGAGACATTTTAAAAAACAGTCAACACTGTATATGTGTTTTAATTTGTAGCAATCTTGGTACGCAAAATCTTTCACTACGACTTGAAATCAAAAAAGAACAAGAATGCTGTACAAAAGTTTTAGTCAAAGCGATGTAAAACGAACAGGTGGAAGGAGGAGGATATAGAGTGGGTGGGGTGGTATTGAGAGACCTGTCTCGGGGTGGGGTCGGTAAATTAATCGTTTCACAATAAATAGGCCTGGGAAAGGAGGGGGTTATTACAAAAGGAAAGAGGGGGTGATACGAATGAATTTGGTATGGAATTGGAGCAATGAGGGGTACTGGTAGTCAGGACCCACCCCCAACCACATGGCCTTTTGCTCCGGTGTATGCGCAACTGGGGGAGGAGAGGAGAGGAGGAGAGGAGGAGAGGAGGAGAGGAGGAGAGGAGGAGAGGAGGAGAGGAGGAGAGGAGGAGAGGAGGAGAGGAGGAGAGGAGGAGAGAGGGAGCAACATGAGAAGAGAGCAGAGAACAGAGGGAAGGTGAAGGTCGAAGATATGCGCTGAGCAGGGGCTGCTGGCGGCGATATGGAGGAAATGGAAGCAGCGGGGGAGGCGGCCGACTCAGCAGAGAGTAGAGGAAGGACAGGATGAAGAGGGATAGAAAAGGTTTGGAGAAGAGGGATGTAGCTAGAAGTTCGAGTAGGTGTGTTAGATAGAAGTTTGACCAGGTGTGTTAGATAAGAGCGCAGGGTATGAGCTGTGAGACTCTGGGCGTTGATGAGTACTGACAAGTCGTGTGCTTGCTTAGGTTTGGGGTCTACCTGGGGACTTGTATCGTGAGGAGAGGAGGGGCCATGGGAAATCGTCAAGTTTTGTCTCAGTATTCTGCTCTTTGAAAGTGAAGGTGTTGCTGCTGCGATGAGTATGTGGGAGGACCAGCTCTATGCGCAGGGCAGTAGCAACAAGGAAGCGCTGGATTTCTCGATGTGGGAACTAACTACCGATGACAAGAATCATGCTCCCTTTGGCGAGTTCAATGCTCCTCAAGATCGGAGAAATCAGCCTGTAGACTTCTTTGACTTCCAGTTCGTCAACAATCAAGATTTTCAGAGAGCTCATGTCGAGCCGCCAGTCTTTGCAGGTGCGATTGCGCCGCCCGAGGTGCCGTTGGCCGTGTCGCACCACAACAGGAAACGGCCGCTGCCGGACGACGACTGGTGTCTTGCCATCTCTGATGAACTGCAGAGGAAGAACGAGCTCGACGCGCTCATCCTTGCTCAGGGACGGGACCAAGGAACACCGGTCTCAGTGGATGGGTCACATGTGGGGGAGAGGAAGAAGCAAATGAACTCAAGGGTGAAGTACCGAGAGGCCTGCGGGCACTGCAGGAGGCGGAAGCTCAAGTGCGATTACATGCTGCCCTGCGCCAACTGCATCATCGCTGGTCAGCCGGAGCTGTGCAGCACCAACAACAGCTCGACTGGCATCGTGTCAAACGTTGAACGCCCGCTGTTGACGCAGAATTACGTCAGAATCTCAGTGGACAACTACGAGAACCTGATGCTGATGAAGAAGGCGTCGGAGGCGATCGGCCTTCACTTCACGCTCCTCAGGCTGGCGAGGGAGGTTGGGTTCCCGGTCAGTGAGTTCCTGCAAGCCTACAAGATCCTCCCCGACGGAATCAAGTCAGCCATCCACGAGGGGATCCGCTCAATCCAGAACCTTGCCCGGGCGCGACTGAGCAAGAGGCTGCAAGATGGCTACGATCCGAGGATAGAGCAGGAGCTGGAGGTGAAGCAGTCGGTGGGAAGGATCTCGGGGATGTGGTTGGGAGACGAGCAGGAGAACGTCTGGAAGGAGGGAGAACTGGATGATGACTTCTGGGGTCACGGAAGGTGGATCTGTGTGGAGTACGACGTGAACACGAGCATGAGGAAGAGCTGCAGGATGGGGCGGGAGTACGCGGCTCTCTTCGGGATCCACTCGGAGGAGTGGCTGGCCCGCTTCGCAGAGAACCAGGTCCCGATCTACACGTCGCAGATCATGTTGCTATGCATCTTGCTTGAGGCTGTTTTCAACTGCTCCTCCACCACCCTCGTCCGTTACTGGAGGGTGCAGCAGTTCCCGAGGAACGGGCAGGAGCCTTCCAACCTGCTCATTCGGTGCAAGATCGTTCAAGTGTTTGACTCCCAGGGGAGGAAGACGCGATTCAGCATGGTGTTCGATCAGGTGTCGGACGAGGAGTACTACCGGGAGGCGAGGGAGGCAGGAGGGAACGGGTTCCTGGACCTGGTCATGGACCACAGGAAGCGGCAAGCGAACCTGCTTGACAACTTCAAGAGGGAAATGCAGTTCATGGGGAAGATAGCGTACATGAGGAAGAACAAGATGGGCAAGAGCATGCTAGAGGAGCTTGAGAAACAGCTGAAGATCCGCACGGAGGAGATTGTGCAGGAGACTGAGAAACTGAAGCTCGACGGTCGTTCTCCCAGCGAACTGTCTACGGCCTCCACGGTGTCATAGGCACGAGGAGGACGAGGCTGACGGTTGTTGATGAATCCAAGGCATGCGGATTGAGACGAAGCCGCCCAATGTGTTCCGCAAAGCTTGGACACTACTTGTATCATGTAGCTATGGTGATGGTGATGGTGATGGTGATGGTGATGTTGTAGCAGAAGGGAAGAGGAAGAGGAGGATGCGGGCATGTGGATATCACTCTCTCCAACAGATTTTTGCAGGAGAGATGTGCTAGGATAAGTTTTTCTGTAATGAGAGTGAAGACAACGAGACTGAGCGGTATAAGTGAGATGCTCAGAGATCGGGGGACCGTTGAGCGGCGATGTTGTGCTGCTTGAGTACTTCCTTGGTCGCTGCGATCGCTTCCTTCCTCCTCAGCACCACAGTCTGGGTGTGGGAGAGGCCGAAAACCTGGAGGAGAAGGTGCAATAAGCAAGATGTATGTGCAAGAATTTGTGTCAGACGTATGAGCAAAATCTTGAGCAAGATTTTGAAAGCAAGATGTATGTTGATGTTGTATGTTCATGTTGTACATACAAGTTTTGTGTACAAGTTGTATGTGCAAGTTGCATGTACAATTTGTGTGTAGTTGTGTGTACAAGTTGTGTGTACAAATTGTGTGGGATGACGATTAGGTGAAACATCAGCAAGTCTTTCTCTTACCAAGAACTCGTCCGTGCAACTTTCAACGAGTTCGTAGAGCTGGTGACAGAAGAGACAAACATGTCAGAGGAGAATAAGAAATGGGGATTGGGGCAAGGGATAAAACATGGTTGAAGGGGGGGAAGGATGGGGAAGAGCTTTTCATTGACAGGGAGCAAGTAAAATACAGAGGAGTGAAGAGAGATGGAGGAGGACGAAGAGGAATTTGAACAAGGAGAGGAGGAGGAGGAGGAGGAGGAGGAGGAGAGGAAGAATGAAGTTCTACATACATGCTTCAGGTTGAGGACTTTTTTGCCGTTGAATGTGTCGAGCTACACGAGGAAGTCAGCATGAAAACAGAGCAGTCACAAGAGCAGTCCCTAGGAAACTTACCTTAATGTTCCTGATGCCGTCGTAACCAGAACAGATCTCTGCTGCCAGAATCTGCGAAAGAACGACAACTTCCTCACCTGCACCATCAACAACATGAGATCAAACTAGGTGAGATCGAAACCAATGCCTCGGCATTGCTATCCCCATCATCATCTCCACCATTATCGTCATCGTCATCTCCATCATCATCTCCATCACAATCATCACTATCACTATCATTATCACTATCATCATCACTATCATTATCACAATGACCGTCATCATCTCCACCATCACAATCATTATCACAATCACCATCACCATCACCATCACAATCACAATCACAATCACAATCACAATCACCATCACAATCACCATCACCATCACCATCACCATCACCATCACCATCACCATCACCATCACCATCACCATCACCATCACCATCACCATCACCATCACTATCACCGTCATCACCATTACCATCACCGTCACCATCACTACCACCATCACCACCATCATCACCTTCCACACTCTGAAATCTCTCATCGATGGCAGCCAGCAACACCTGACACCAAGTCAACCAGGCTCCCTCCGACAACCGATGGCTCACATTCGGAGCTTTCTCGTAATATCGCTTTCCAAACTCGTGCAGCATGTAGTTCAAGGTAAGCGGGACAAACACCTGAACATGTGCGGGTGAACAAAGTTTGTTACTGTCGAGATGCGACGGAGCGGAGAGGGGTGCAGTTTAAGGAGAAAGGAAAGGAGGGAGGAACGGAAGAAGGGAGGAAGAGGAAGGGAGGGCAAGGGCGAGGAGGGAGAGCGAATAAGAGAAGCTGCAGTGCGGGGGAGCGAGGTAGAAAAACAGTGACGTACCATACAACCGACAATATAATATCGGGGAGCAACGTCGTAAACACACTCGGGGACGAAATACTTTGGGGATTTCAACACGACGTTCTTCTTGCAGACCTGGTGGGATGGATGTGTCAGGAGATGGAGAGAAAGAGGGAGGGAAAGTGCAGCATGACGGTAAGACCGCAAGGAAGGCAAGGAAGTGAAATCCAGCACAACAGACACAGTTATGGTCCGTTATCGCATGATGTTCTCTGACATGAAAGGCAACGAGAAACAGAAAGTTCAAAGACATCAGAGAGAACAGGGGAGAGAAAACGAGCAAGACAGTATGGTGAACAGGAAAAGAAATTCCATGATCAAGACAGCGACGGTTCTTACCTTCCTGCCTCTCAACAGTGTGATCTCACAAACATCGTCAACAAACTTCTGACTGATCAGATGGGCAAATGCCAGCCTCTCCATCATCCTGAACTTGATCGTCCCGTCGTCTGCTATTGAGACTCCGTCGATCGCCAGCAACGTGTCGCCTGCCAGCCTCGTCATCTGCCAGCCCTCCATCCTCTCTCCTCCTCTACTCCTCCTCCTCCCCCTCCCTCTCCCCCTCCGCCTACTCTGAGTGGGGCTCCTCCTCCCCCTCCCTCCCTCCCCTTCTCCTCCTCACCTGTCTGCAGCGTGTCCGGCGAGTGCCGCGTCTGGTCTACCTTACACACCATGATCCCCGACCTGTCCAGCTCCCGCGGCAGCTCGCAGTTGTCGATACCCACGAAATCCCTCAGGTGCTTGTTCTCCAGCGGTGCCCAGGTGATCCCCAGGGTGACGAACCCTGTGTACCTCTGGTTCCGCTCGATGTCCGTCAGGAAGTGATTCACCACTGAGCAAGGGATGATGTACCCCACGTTCTCAGCGTCCTCCCTCCCCTGGAACGCGACTCCGATCACCTTGCTGCTGTCGTCGCACAGCGCCGGCCCCCCGAGTTCCCCGCGTTCACCGCCGCGTCGATCTGCACGCACAGCAGGTTGAACCCCGAGTGCGCGTACTCGTGCACGTCCACCCTCGACACGACCCCAGCAGTTACGCACAAGTTGTCTCCTCCAGTCGGGAACCCGACCACAATCACGCTCTGCTGGAGCTCCGGCACGTCGCCGAACTCCAGCGCCTTCGTCCCCACCCAGAAGTCTCCGTCCTCCACCCCAATGATCGCCAGGTCACACTCGTGACCGACGAACAGGACTCGAGCTGGGTACTTCTTCGGGATCCCGTGTCGCTGCACCAGGACCCAGTTCTGGTTCGCCACGTTGTGCGCGTTGGTGAGGATGCGATGGCCTGAGATGATGAAGCCGCTCCCCGTTCCCTGCCGCTGCCGGCGCATCTGCCATGGCTGCGAGAAGTGCGGCTCCGTTGTCCATGCAAACACCTTGACCACAGACGCAAAGCCTGTCTGCAGCGCCGCCGTAGGTGTCGCATGCTTGGCCGTCTCTGCGAGCAGCTTGCTGACTCCTCCCACAGAGATCGAGGCTCCTCCCAGAGCTCCAAGAGCAGGAACGGAAGCGATGGAGGAGACGGAGGACGGGCCTGCTCCAGCCTCCAGCTCCTCGTCCTCGTCCTCCTGCATCTCATCCTGCCGCACATCTCTCGTCACAACAGGTTTCCCCTCGTTTGCGTTGTGGAGGGAGCTGGAGAAACCACCTCCCTGCGATCCTCCTCGCAGATGCCGAACGATGCTGAAGGGCTGAGGCGAAGGAAGCGAAGTGGAGAGGGGAAAGTAACCGTTGGAAAGGGCGACGAAGAGGAGGATAGCGAATCTTGACGAGAACATGGTGCGACGCCAGAGAGAACTGAAAGGAAGGCAAGAGATGGCCGTAGAGAAGTAGCGAGAGGAAGTGACAACAGATACCAGACGATCTGAGCTGAAGAAGGTTTGGAACCACTGGGAAGGGGAGGGGAGGTGAACAACCGGAAACAAAAGCTCCTGATGGCTGGAACGGGAGACTAGGACAAGGACGACGGCAGGAGAGGTCCTGTGCTAGTCATGCGTTGCGTTGAGGTATCGTGGGAGAACTTTGACGGTCAACAGATGCAGAGAGCAGAAAGAAGAAGACGTGAAGAGGAGAATGTGGCAGGGGTACGAGAGAGAAGTGGAGGAGGAGGAGGGCGAGGAGGGGAAGGGAGGAAGAGGAGGAGGAGGAGCACAGGTAGACAGGAAGACAGGAAGACAGGGAGGGAGGGAGGGAGGGAGGGAGGAGTCGCCGAGAAGTCGCCGATGCGTGGGCAGCTATGAAACCCCTGCGGCGGCCATGCGGCAAGGGTATCCGCGATTATCCGCCAGAGTATCCGTGAATGTATCCGTAAAAATCCTAAAAATGATCCGCAAAAAATGCAGGCAGCAGTGCAGGGAGGGAGAGAGCTGCTGGATAGTCGAGGAGGAGGAGGAGGAGGAGGAGGAGGAGGAGGAGGACAGAGGAGAGACAGTGAGAGAGCAAGGAGGAGGGACGGGGGGTGTTGGGAGGATAAGAGAGTGATCGGACATGGAGGGGGAAGGTAGCGGCGCAATGAACTGTGGGGAAAGCAGGGAAGGAGGGAGGGGAGGGGAGGGGGCTACTCCATGAGACCGCAACGATGGCAAGACTGAGATCGAAATGATGCTTGGTGATGTTGCTTGCTGCCAGGAAAGCTCTCCCATCGTCGGGCATGCGGCCTACCCTGAACCTTGAGGTGTTCTTAGTTTGTGTCCTATCGTGCGCACCCTACGTGCATCCCCTGTCCTTCCGTCCGTCTGCCATTGGAGCATCGGGATGCCTGTGGAGCCACTTGCGCAAAGATGCTCTTGGAAGCAGGCTTATCGGAGGTAGTCTCGGACCCAAGACGATGGTGACGTTGTGAGGGGATGGGCGGTCAGTATTGACACACTGCATGCAGTTATCGTCCAAGTACAGCCCGCGCGATGAGATCTTCAAGAAGGCGCTGCCTAAGGTCGACATGGGCTGGCGGCGCATATTCTCTGGCAGCTTCAACGTCTTCTGCCTTTGTCTGTTCATCGCTGGAATGAGCATGGATAGAAACCTTTACCGCCTCATAGCGGGTCAGATCACCGTCCTCGATTTCCTCACCGTCACTTCGAAGGAGATGCTTGAGACGACTGTCATGCTGTATCATGCGGGTTGCTCTACAGTCTCTCGCTCCTTCCAGGATGGCAAGGAATGGTGTGCGAAGATGATGGGCGACGAAGCCCGTTCAGCAAGAGAAGGTATACAGAAGCAGTTCCCTCCTGGTTCCATTGGGAACCCGCTGCCTAAGTGACGGGCATGTCAACAGAGCTTCCTGTTCCAGACAAGCAGACGCTGAGGGACCATTCTATAGCTAACCACACTGCTGTGTTATGTTCAGATCACGTCACACGCCTCATCATGTATAGTTTGCCATCTTTAAATTTACAAGAAATTAATTCAGAACGACTCCGACCCTTAGTTTGCAAGAGAGGTCCAGAGCTCAGAAAGCAAGAGCATCTCTCAGGGCGACAGATGGTACTGGGTAGGGGTAGCGTGCGTAGGAAGAGCAGACTGCGGGGAGCGAATGAGTCAAGTCAAAACACACGGCTCAGCCGTTACCTGCAAGTAGGTATTCCCATCGCAGTCCGTGCCGAAAAGTCCGCACTGCGTAAAGACAAGGAGCAAGCGCAAGTCAGTCACCAAACAACCGAGTGAGACCAGTAACAGCACTCACGTCAGAGATCGCCGGAACCTTAGAAAGCAGGGAGTTGGCGTGCCTGTTGGTCAAGACTTGTGTGTGCGCGTGCATGGGGTGGCCTGCAACACGAAATTAGAAAGGTGAAGTCAGGGAAACACTCTCCAGCAAGATCGAGGGCAGAACACAGCAAGGAGTAGAGCAAGGGGGTAGCTGATCGCGAGAAGGAAGGAGGGGAGGTGGAGCTGGTTAGAGGAAGCAGCAGAGAGCCGATGGTATCAAGGATGTGGATGTCCAACCGGATGATCTCCCCCCGAGATCGAAGTCAGAGAGCTGGGAGAGCGCCGCTGCATTCCTTCGCTCGTCGCGTCCCTTGAGGGCGTACATTGCAGCGTAGAACATCTGTCAACCATTTAGGTCAGAGCTTGATCGCTCCAACTAAGTAAGGACACATGCGCTAGCTTCGATCGTGGTGATTTCAAAAATCACAGCTATGAGCTAATAGATCCTATTCTACCCCTTTGAATCCCGGACTGATCAGTTAGGTATACGGTTCAACCAGGAAGCCCATAATGAAGATGAAGTAATGGTTGTAACAAAGGTTCTCACAAACGCATTCAGCTTTCATGAACCATCGATGTCTTTCTCTCCCCCCGCACCGCCCTACTTGGTCTCTTTTGTGCTCGCTCCTCCGTTCCTAACATTTCACTTCAGACTCTTCCACTTGACTTTTGCTTTCAACTCCGCATGTGGTCCTCTTCCTCGCCTTCGATCTCTTCTCCTTCGTCAGGCATAACCCCCTCTTCCATGCCCTCTTCTCTTCCTTCTCTGTCGCTCCCCTCCTCCTTCTCTCTCGCTCCTCTCCTCCTTCTCTCTCGCTCCTCTCCTCCTTCTCTCTCGCTCCTCTCCTCCATCTCCAGTGCTCTCTTGGAAGCGCCATGTTCTAATTCGGACAACCGTTACTTGTCTCATGTTGACGTTACAGTCGCAGTCGTTACGTAACCGTTACAGAAGTCTTTCGTCGAGGGTGGGGGTAGTTTGAGTACCGGTACATTTATGATCCCTTGTGAGTCATACCCCTGGGTTAGCCATATACCCTACCCCTAACGTGGAGAGCTATTTGCGGTCAACCGGGTTCCATGCGGCTCCCCGACAGCGATCATGCAAGGCAAGCAAAATCCTCCTCCTCGTCTCCCCGCCACATCATCATCCTCCTCCTCCTCGTCCTCCTCCTCCTCCTCATCGTCCTTGTCTTCCCGCCACACCATCCTGCGCTACATCATCATCATCCTCCTCCTCCTCCTCCTCCTCTTACTCTTCTTCCTGTTCATCGTATTCTCTCAGACTATAGTTCCAACCCTCATCATATCCTCATCCTCTGTCAGAACTACACTGGTTTCTGATGATGATGCTGCTTTTCCTCTTGCCTCGCAAGATCTTCCTCTCTTCCTGTTCTACCTCTCTTCAAGTGACGTTCCATGTAGCTCGGGGCATGTGCTTGCGGACAATCTCGACGCACAACCGAGGAGGAAGCGGATGCTTTTCTTTTCCACCAGCAAGGCCGACCTGGGCTTGACGCTCATCGTGGCAGCAGTCCTCTCGCTTCTCACCCTTGTTATCTTCAAGCTCGACAACGACGTCAAGTTGCTCGAGTACAACAAGGATATGAGACAAGGAAACTGTAAGGTGTTGTCGGCAGAGCTGCAGCATGTGTCAGTGCCGCAAGGTCCCCCCGATGTTGATATCCCCGACGAGGACAAGGTAAAGTACCTCGTTGCCTTCCTCCCTTCCTCTCTCCCCCACCACTTCCTCACTCCTTCCCTCCTTGCTCCCCCTCCCCGTCCTTCCTACAGCGTCTTGCATCTTGTTCTCTTTCACCTACACTCTACCTATCCTCCTCTTCTCCCCTCCCTCCTTTCGCCTCCCCTTCCTTGTTTTTCCCTCTCTCCCCCTGTCCTCTCCTCTGCCTCTACCTGCCCTTGTCGACCCCATGATCTCACCTCCTGCCCTCTATCTGACCTCCTGCCACTCAAACCTGCGCTCTCTACCCTTACGCTCCATTATCAGTGGCGAGGAGAGGTGATAGTGGAGGTCGACCCTGGCGACGGAGCAAACTCCTTCCAGGTCCCAGTGCACGACACGTTGGAAGGACAGTTCTCCTCAGTCAAGGAGTATCAGGAGCAGTGGTTGCAGCGGCACCAAGAGGGGAAGCAAGAGGTTTGCTACTACGGCATGTTCCACGGGCACATGGCGGCAGTGTTCGACCTGCAGGCTGCGTTGACCAAGGTGAACGGCAGCTGGGGAGAGGACCACAGCTCGTTCAGCATGCACGTGGCCAAGGTTGTAGTCGGGTTCTTCGCGCTGCTGTTCGTCGGCCTCGTGAGTTTCAAGAATCCCCCGTCTCACCCACCCTCTCCTTCTCCACCACCACCACGATATCCTCCTTCTCCTCCTCCTCCTCCTCCTCCTCTTTCACCAACACCCCCTCCTCCTCCTCTCCCTCCCCCTTCACCTCTCCTCCTCCTGCTCCTCCCACCTCTACTTTTCCCTTACCTCCCCATCCTCATCCTTGTCCTCATCGTCATCACTACCTCCTCCACTGCCTCCTCCTCCATCATTCCAACTTCCGCCATCGTGAGCTCTACCCCAGGTGTTGATCAAACTTCTAGTCGGCAAATGGGATTCGCCCGAAGATGAGGAGTATCAGCAGCTGCGAGAGGATAAAGAGGATGCTGTCCCTCCTTACGGGTCCGACGGGACGCGAGGAGGAGGGGAGGAGGAGCGGCTGCAGCGGGTTGTGGTGGACCTGCAGGAGGAGAGGAGAGGGAATGTCGAGACAGGGCGATCGGTACGTCTGATGTGGCTAGAGGAGGAGGAGGAGGAGATGGAAGTAGGAGGAGGAGGAGGAGGAGGCCTGACTCGGTCGTTCAGTTGATACTGCAAGGAGGGACGCCTAGATCGGATGGGTTGGAAGAGGTTCCTTTGCCGAGATGACGGGGGATTTTTGTTTTGTGGCATGTAAGATTTATTGTTTGTGCTTTTGTGCATGTGATTGTAAATATATGTTTCTCCTTTCCTCTGAGACTTTTTCTCTGTTTAATTCTTTCGCCTGAAATCAACATGAATAAACGATATGAGGAACAGGTGAAGAGGAAGAGGAGCAGGAAACTATCAGAACATGTCGAGGTGGGAAAGGAGGAGGGTAAGGAGGAAGAAGGGAAGCGATTGAGGAGAGGAGGAGGAGGAGCAGATGGTGATGATGATTGAGGGGTTTATCCAGCATCACGCTTTTGCTGCCAAGTCCGCGTATGATCTCAAGATTGTGTTCTTAGTGTCGAGGTCATCCTGTCAGATGTTATCACGAAATATGACATTGATGACATGCAATCACATCTCATCTCATCTCATATCTCAAGCTCATCTCATCTCATATCTCATATCTCCCTCATATCTCATCTCAACTCAACTCAAAACATATCACATCACCTCGAGCTGTTTGATCATGCCTCGCAGCAGTTGATTCTCAGACTGCAGGTGAGACAACGAAGACTTGTCGACATGGTTTTGCTGAGCTTCAGCAGCTACTTGAGCGACAACCTCGCAAGCTTCGATGAGATAACATGTCCAACAATCCTGCAAGTTCAGCCCAAGTTTGAAGACTTCCTCGCCTGATTGCTGAGATGCCGTCATCGTCAAGAGATGTCTTCTTTGCTGCAGGCATGACGAGTCGAGCCCTGCAATGCGCTTCTTTGTGCTTGCGATCACTGACTGAAGGTTCAACGATGACGATGACGATGATGATGACATGGAAGTCTGCCTGCTGTTGCCTCCGGTCTGAACACTCTGCATGCTGCATGCAAGGTTGCTAACGAAGTCTATCAGCGCGAGGTTGAGAGAGTCTTCCAAGAGAAGCATCTTGACAAACTCGTCGGAGAGCGCAAGGTCGACGTGTCTTGTTGCTGTCTTGGCTGCTTCCTGTTGTGCAAGTTCTTCACACAACCTCTGCATGTTCATCTCAGCCATCTGAATCTTTGAGGACTGGAGTTGTTGCTTGTGATAGTAGTCCTCCACGTTCTGGAGCTGCTCTGCCTGAAAGGAAAAGTCAAGACAACAACAACAACAGGCATGTAATGGTGCTGCCTGTATGTTTGCGATGCAGCCGAGGAATCTGAACAAGATCTGAAACATCTCTGAAGAGAACGAAATTGTGTGCGGAAGGAACATGTCTCCGTTGTCCAACACCTCACCCCAATCATCATCTTCTCTCGTGGGAGCGTGAGATTGAATTTCCCTCATCTCTTGAACACATGCTGCAAGGTTTTGAACTATCAGTTCTGTCTCTACAGTCTCTCTGCCTTTCGACAGCAAATACTCCAACACCTTTGTGAACAAGCTGATTATCTTGGAACATCGCTCTTGCTGCAAGACATGTCAAAAAGACTTCACAACAATTTGACTGATCACCTGAATACAACTCTCCCTCCATCCCTGATGAGCAACTTTCCTCATGTTGTCAACATAAAGGTTGATCTTGACATTGAGTTCAGCTAAATCTTGAGATGACGGGCTACTTCTCCTGACTGCCGGCATGTCTGGTCTAGAAACAAAAAAGTCAAAACTATCCCTCCATGAGTTGGAAGATTACATGGGCTGCAAGACATCATGGTCTGAGATTGCAGAGGAGTTCTTGTTCTTGTCGTCTCCGTTATCACAATAATTGTTGCGACTTCTTGTCTTTCCTTGCAGTGCTCCTTGCGGTGCTACAACATCTTGTACAACATCACTGATTCCCGTCGGCAAGGGACATGTCGATTGGCTCGCTGACAACAACCTTTCATCTTCCGACATTTTCCTGATCTCTTCAGTGTCTTTCAAACATGCGGCGATCATCGCAACGATCTCCGTCATCTTGTTATGCTGTAGCTGCTCCCTCAAAAACATCCCATCACTCTCCATCTCAAAGTTGCAACAACAACTTCGCAGTTCCCCTCGCAGTGTATCGACCTGCTGCGCAAGGTTGTAGAGGATCGACTTGGACTGGTCTTCCTCCTCCCGCCTAGCTGCATCCTTGGGTACTTTGGAAGGAGACGTGTTACCAGAGGCAGGAAGCAACTTCCTATCGCTGTCTGCTGCCTCCATCATCTCCAGCGCCTGTAGCAGGTGATTCATGACTCTGTCTACCTCCTTCAACCTCCCACTCGTCGAGCCAGCCATGTCGTTCTGGAGTTGCAAGCTATCGATCTCAGCCTCCAGCGCAGCGATCGTCTCATCCTTCACCCTACTGAGCTCCTTCATCACTTGGAGCTCCTCCTGCAGCACTTGGATGGTGGAGATGACGTGGATAGTTTCAGATCTCCTTCCTATCAGCAGCATGTTCGCCTCCCGCTCTACCTCCCACTCCCCAAGTCGCACCGTCAGCCTCCCCTCCACCTCCTGCATCGTCGCCAGGAGCTCCTCGGTCTCACTGTGGAGGGATGCAAGCAACGAATACTCCCTCTCTCCTTCTTCCTCCTCTTCCCCCTGCTCCTGCTCCTCCTGCTCCTCCTGCTCCTCCTGCTCCTCCTGCTCCTGCTCTTCCTCCTTGTCCTCGTGTCTCCGAGACTCGCTCGCCTGTATCGAGCAAACAAGATCCGATCTCATCTCATCCACTGCCGACATGTTCTCTCGGTTCAGCAGCTCCAGGTGCTCCAACTCAGCCCTCAAACTCTCCTGCTCGCTGCGCATCCTCAACCTGTCGAGCTGAAGGAGTTGGAGGGAGTCGGAGATCGTTTCTTCTGTCATTGCTATCTCCTCCAGTCCTTCTGCAAACTCCTCACCTGCCCTATCGTACAAGACCTGAGTGTAAGTTTTGCTCCGCAAGATAGTTTGCGTCACTGTCAACAACTGCTCAAATGTCGAGACAAGATCTGCCATCCCGCTTGCAAACGATTGTATACAAGACATCTCTTGCTCGACATGAGACTGAAGAATGAGATCCTTGTACTTCTCGCAAGCTGACTGTGCGGCCAACCTTTCAAACACAGATGCTGCAGCCTGTTGCGTTGTTCTTTCAAGATTGTCGAAACTTTGACACAGCAGATTGAACATCTCCAGCATAACACAGTCACTCTGCATTGATCGATCCCTGTCTGCAGATAACTCGTCGAGCTGTAAACTTGCTTCTGAAATCGCCCCCTGCGACATCGAGAGAGCATCGGAGAGCATGAAGGTGTAAGACTTCAAGTTTGAGATCTCACATTGCTGTAAGATGATGTTCCTGTTGAGTTGATCTATCGTAGCTCTCATCTCATCCTTCTCATCTACAAGAGATGGAACGATGTTCTGCACCTCAACCAAACTCTCAGCAATGTTGTTGATGATTTCTTCCAGGTTCACCATGGCAAACTGCTTCTCGATCTCAGCCGTTTTCAACGTGTTGTCATTGTTTTCCATCACTGTTCTACATCCCAGCTCCACTTCAAACAACATCTTGTTCACGGAATCGACAACGTCTTCGAGGTTGCTGCACTTGGATGCGAACTTGTGCAAGAAGTCTTTGACTTGCTCATCGCCAGCAAAGTTTTGCTCTCTACACACCTTGCGTGTTTCTCGAAGGTGGGCTGAAAGTTCTGCCGACAGTTCGAAGACAAGTTCGTTGAAGTGATAGATAAAAGTGAAGACGACATGTTCAGCAAGACAGCGTTGATCGATTATCTCCATCAACAACTTCAGCACAAACTCCGACCTGCAAGTCAAGAGGGCCAACAGCTGAACAGCTTGCTTGCTCGCGTCCTCCCGGCTCATCCCCGCCCCTTCTCCTGTGCTCCATGCTCCCCTCACCATCTCCGAGATGTCTTGTTGACAAGACAGCAGCTCCTGCGCCAGCTCCAACACAACCCTCAGGTCTGACTCCGCCTCTCGAGGCCTCCTGTCCAACGAAACTTGCAGCCTGTCAGCTGTTTGAACGCTATCATCTACATCAGATGTTGCAATGAGCCGTTGAGTTGCTGTCATCTCATATTCCTTGTATTGTTTTTGTTGCCTGTTACGCTCAACAGCATCATCGTCTCTGCTCGTCTTCTGTTCTCCTCTCTCCTCATCCTCGTCAACTTTCATCTGCATCATCGCGTTGCAGGCTGCTGCCCACGATGAGCTCAATCTCATCGATTTTCTCGCTTGCTCCAGCGCCGTATCTCTCTCCTTCTCTGCCCTTTGCAACTTCACCATCACTTCAGCATGCTGCTGTCTCAACATCACCAGCTGCGTCTGCTCCTCCCTCAACCTCCTCCCTGCATCGACGAGGATTGAGTGAGACTGGTCGACCATGGCATGTAACTTCTCCATCGCTATCTCTGACGCTATGTGAAAAATTCCCTCGTCTCTTGATTTCTTCTGCAGCAACATGGCGAGTTCTTTGGACGTGTCTGACCTCTGTCGAGGTACTTGTGATATCATGCTTGTTCCAACTTGTGATAACAACAACATGCCGTCTTGAATCGCATCAATCATTCCGTTCAGCTCTGTATCAAGGTATTGCTGCAGCAATTTTGTATCCCTAATTGCAAGGTGCAAGTCTTGACAAATCTCCAGAGTCTCACCGTTCATGTAATGCAGATTATGCAGACCTGATGATAGAATTTCTTGTTCTGTTATCTTGCTTGCCGGACAATTTGCGATGTCTTGTACTTCAAAAACACGTTCATCACATTCATCATTGTCATTGTTGTGCTCTTGCACTTGTTGCTGCAGTTGACCTCGCTCGACTTGTCTGAAAACATCAAAGAACAGAATCATCTCATGGCTCAAGATTGTTGTTTCCCTTATGATGATGTCGCATGCCGCAAACACATCGTTTCTCTCAAGATCATTGCAAACGTCAACACGATTCTTGCTTGTTCCTTCCAAAATGTTGTGTATCAATGCTTCAACCTCTCTCACACCATCTCCATGCCTTTCATCATCTACAACTCGTTCCTCATCGTTTCTCATCTTGTTCATCTCATCTTGCATGATGATCCTCATCTCGTGTGCTGATTGCACAAGTTCGCAAGAAACTTGTTGAGATTGCAAACGAAATTCCCTCCACCATAATGGATCATTACATCTTGAAATAACGAGCTGATCAGGCTCTGCTGAACAGTAACTCGAATCCACCAGTAGACCGCTGTGCATCCATCGCAAATGAGGATCTTTTTCTTGCCCTCCTCCTCCTCCTTCTCCTCCTTCTCCTCCTCCTCCTCCTCCCATCTCCTCGTTCCCTATCTTGTCTGTCCTTCCTTGTTTCTCTTGTTCTGCCAGCCATCCTGACGACAGCTGCACCTCCGTAAGAATCGACCGCATCTGCCAGATTCGCCGCTCAAGTTCCCCCATGCCCTCTTCGAGATGTTTGAGAAAAGTCTCTTGGAGGGAAAGATGTTTGTTCAGAAAGGCGACTTCCTTTGTAACATCGTGTAATCGGTTCTCGTCTAGCGTAAACGAGCTGATCATCTCTGAAGTTACAACCCTCGCCATCGCATCTTGACGTTGTCACCTGCAGAGACCGTCCAGAGCTCGTAACAAGTCGTCGCGACCAGATCGTTCTTGCAACAACTTCAACTCCTGCCAACGTTCCTCAGCGCTCGCACAACCATCTCACACCGTAAATCTCCCAGCACTAGCACAAGCACGTCGCAGATCAGATCTCTTTCCATCTTACCGAGATCTCCAGACATCGTTTGAACTCATGATTCATGTACATCTCGGACAGATACTTCCTTCGCAGAAGATCGTTCTCTTGGTCAACATGTACAACTTCATCCATGAATTCCTGACGTGTGTCATGATGAAGCTCCAAACTTATAAGACTCACTGAAAGGCTTTCAACACAGCTCTTGATTTCAATCGCTAAAACCTCCCTCTCTCGCCTCAACGCATGGATGTAACTTTCATTTCGACCTTCGTTCCGACGGGACTCAATCATCTTTGGATGATATAGATTCAAACACAGGAAGGTCACAGCAAAAAACTGCAAACCTGGTGCCTGACACGTGTTTCCTGAGCCTCTATACATACATGAACATCTCTCATCTCGTCTCTGCATTCCTGTATCTCTCGGATTAACACAGAACATGTTCTGAAGATATTTGAAAGTTGTCTCGGCTTTAACTGAACTCACACATCACAAGTGCTCATCACATCCTAACTCACCTCATCGCTGTTGGCAGGAGTCCAGTTAGTCTGCAAACGCCGTCACTGACTGCACGACATCTTGACATGTCGGACGTACCTGACAAGAAGCGTCCATGACACATGTTTTGTGAGCTGCAACCTCCAACGTCAGACTGTGCTCAGGTAGTGAAGCAAGTCAACCAGTCCTTGTCTTCCTCTCGTTGCACTCCTGCAGACGATGTCGGAGCTCGTGTAGCTGCAGACGACAGTCAACGACATGGAAGGATCATGGGAGAGAAAGCGGAAGAGGAGAGTGGAAGCAAGTTGATAGTCGGAGAAAGAGGACGAGGAAGATGAGAACGAGGGCGAGGAGGAGGACGAAGACGAGGAAGATGACGTATCTCTATGGCTTGCCTCATGTTCTCTGTCCTCGAGTTGCAGTTGAAGATCAGCGACGTTCCTCTGCTCTTCCTCGATCCTTCTATGAGCCGCCAAGATCTGCTCCTCATGCTTTTCGAGCATGACCTGACAAGTAGATGAGGTCGGAGCAAGGGACATACTCGCAGGAGACGAGACAACAGAGCGTCATCAAGTCTCAGCAACTGACTGGCATTGACAAGGGAAGGGAAACCATGGGCGGCAACAGGTGCCGGCAGGGCAGGTGGGGAAGCTTGAAGGGCAAGAGGAGGAGACTCTTCAGGCTAAGTGCGGACATCTCCTTCACCTTCTGCTGCGTCAAGTTCATCGTCGTCATCCTCTCGACATGCCGTGCGAGCTCGTCGAACCGCCTCGCCGCCATTCCCGCAGTCACCTCAACTTGACTTTCCCTATCAAATTTGTGCCGCTGCACTCTAGCTAGCTCTACTCTGGCTAGTCCCTCAGTGACACTGATGAGAGTCCGGCCGCTTTCCGGACGGGCCCGACCGACCGGATCGGACTCGGTCACCTTCAATCGAGAGTCTCTTGCTTTGCCTCTTTCATTCTTTGATCACACTGGTAATCATCACAACATACTCTACTCAATCAAACGTTTGATTGAGTAGAGTATGTCAATGAGTAGAGTATGCCAGTTATGAACAAGAGACTCAGTTCAGTCCTCTATGATCTTCTCAGTACGCCTTCACGACCGTGACTCGCCGCGGACTCTGGGAGAGAGACTGTACAGCAGTGATAGTACAGGCTGTGTAGTCCCCTAACTACCGGTGACCGTACCAACCATCATGGCATGGCCCAGTACCCGGCCCCGGACTCCACGGTCCGAGTCATGCTGGTTCCGACCGTACGGTACTACTACGGTACTCCGAGTCGGAGGGCAGCTCCGAGTGACTTGGCGGCGGTGACTCCGAGCCTGGGGCTCAGGCTTCAGTGACTCACTGTCAGTGACTGGTCGGACCTGCGGCGCCCGCCGTACTACGCCGGGTAGTTACGCGCGGCCGCCGCGGCCGCGCGGTGATCGGCGGTGGCGGGCCCGCCGTTCTACCGGGAGGCCGGCTAAAAAACGCAAGCCGCCGAATTCATTGAGGGATGAATCTTTACACATAATTTGAAAAATACCTTCATAATATATGAAAATTTTGAAACCTAAATTATCCTCTAAAGTTTCAACATCTGATTTGTCCATTGAAACTTGCCACCCAAAATTACCCTGCCTTGCAACCCCACCTTCTCAGGGAGTTTCATCAAAAGGGGAATATAAACCACAAAAGTCTTATCTTGAGTAACTTAAAATATTGGTACTTTTGTGGACGAAGTTTTATTAAACTATTCTATCAGTAATAAAATAGAGCCTCTGGAACATTCTCAAGGGGTATGGGTGGGTATTGGGATCTCTGGTGTACTGATTCGTGAAGGTTGATTGACACCCCACTTCCGATATTTCGGTGGTGGATGGGTAGGGTGGTAGGCACTACTGGGTGGGAAATACCATGCATTGTAGGTGAAAAGTGATGTTAAAATGGGGGTGGGGGTATTACAAGAGAGGGTAGACCAGATAGTGTTGATGGGGTGGGGTAGAGGGGTGGAAAGCGAAGTGCGTGTGAGCGATATGGCAGAAATGCGGGAAGCGACGGACGGAGAAAGGAGGGAGCAGGGAGCAGGGAGCAGGGAGCAGGGAGCAGAATGAAAGATCAATGTTGAGAAGATTCATGGAGGAAGAAAGGGGATGTGAGAAGAAGTTGAAATGATGAGAGGGTGAAAGAGGCTAGTGGCAGAAATCAAAGTCATGGCGTTCCGGAAATCAAGAAAAGTGGAGGATGAAATTGTTTTTGCCAGGTCTAAAGAGATCGCGAGGTAGTAAACCCCAGGCCGAGGAAACGAATGCCAAGAGCATCATGTACAGAAGATTGTTGAAGATACAAATCAAAACATCCCGAAAAGAGAGGAAGGGCAGGGCAGTGAGAAGTTGAAATTGATGCAGTTGGAGTAGTGAAGTGGAGCATAGTTCAATGTGCTTGAAGGATCAACCATCGAGTAGAGAATGGAATGAGTGCAGTTGCTAGACAGCTCTCGCAGTAACCTTCAAAGCGAGCTGGGCTTTACATCTGGTGTGAGATGGGTTGGATAGCTGTTGCATCAATTGTTGCATGTTGCGAACCCTTCTATGCACCGTAAAATTACGTAGCTCGTAGATTTGAGAGACTGTTCATATCAACCAAAATTATCGGTGTTGGAACGAATTTTTTTGGTCTATGCCTGTACCGTGCATTATCTTCATATGATGATTTCCTTTCATATATGTTGAATGTTTTCAATGTCGTGTTAGAACATTTCTTTTCCCTTGCTCGGCATTGGAACGTTTCTAACTTTCATTGTGCTTGATTGCAGTCTCTCTCTGGGCCTCAAGATCAGTAGAATCGAACAAGACTTGTTCGTTTCTTCCCGAGAAAGTTAGGACCGAGTAGCAGGATGACTACTCCAGCCAGGCGACGCCTGATGAGGGACTTCAAGCGTTTGCAGACTGATCCTCCTACTGGCATCAGTGGAGCTCCATCCGTTGAGAACATCATGCAGTGGTAACGAGCCCCCTGTCAAGTCCCTCCTGTCCCTCCTGTCTTATCCTCCGAGCAGGTCTGCAGTGATCTTTGGGCCCGACGACACTCCATGGGAGGGAGGTTGCACTTGCTTCAGTCTGCGCTGTCGCTGATGGCAATGCTGGCAGGAACCTTCAAGCTTACTCTGACCTTCACCGAGGACTATCCCAACAAAGCTCCTGTCGTCAAGTTCGTTACCAAGATGTTTCACCCCAACATATACGCCGACGGCGCCATCTGCCTTGACATCCTGCAGAACCAGTGGAGCCCGATCTATGACATCTCTGCCATTCTCACATCCATCCAGTCCCTCCTCACTGACCCGAACCCTCAGTCCCCTGCCAACTCCGAGGCCTCCAAGTTGTACGTAGAGAACAAGGGAGAGTACAACCGGCGTGTGAAAGCCATCGTAGAGGAGAGCTGGAAGGCATGATGGGAGCAGAGACTCTGTGATGCGATGATTTGTAATTTGAAGCTTGTCAGATTTGTTCATAAAGACATTTGAATCTTGATCGGGTGAGTGGGGAGAAGCAGGTGAGGGAGCAGCTTGAGAGAGGGGATGGGGGAGAAGGAAAGGAGGAGTACTAGGGGAGAGGAGGAGGAGGACGAGGGGCAGTGCTAGGAGACAGGAGGAGCACAAGGGGAGAGGAGGAGGAGTACTAGGATCACTTTTATCTTTTATGTACATTGAGCGGTTTGGTGGTGGAGCTTTAGAACGTGCAGTAGGAGAGGAGCAGGTGATGTGCCATGTGCAGGGCCCTGAACAGACACATCAGGAGAGCGCGGCGGGATAAAGTCATGCGCGAGACATGAAGCTTGAAGAGATGCGGAGGAGGAAGAGGGGGGGGGGGGGGGGGGATGATGATGATGATGATGATGATGATGATGATGATGATTATAATGATGATGATAATGATGATGAGGAGGAGGAGGAGCAACAGCTTCAGCAAGCGGAGGCTTCACCCAGTTTCCCTGTAGATCAAGGAGAGATTGAAAGCTGCTTCACGCTTGAGATCAATCTCAATCAGAGCAGCCATTGGCGGCCCCATGCTCAAAAACCTGAGACAGAACCATCAAACCCCTCACCTTTTTGCCCTCCTCCTCTCTGTCTCTTCTCTCCCTCCCTCCCTCCCTCCCTCCCTCTCTCCTCCTCCTCCCCCCCCTCTCCGTCTCTGTCTCTCTCTTCTTCATCTCGCTCGACCTGCTCGTAGCAGGGGATGGCGAAGGAGTAGAGGGAAAGCTGATGGAAGGCTCGACCGAGGTTATAGAAAGTCTCCTGGTTCCACTGCGAGGAGAGTGAGAGGAGAGTGAGAGGAGAGGAGAGGAGAGGAGAGGAGAGGAGAGGAGAGGAGAGGAGAGGAGAGGAGAGGAGAGGAGAGGAGAGGAGAGGAGAGGAGAGGAGAGGAGAGGAGAGGAGAGTGTTAAATACGGCAAGGCGGTCGAGAAGGTGTACATGAACAATGTCTTCGTCTGCCTGCCTGAACAAGGAAGGGATCTGCAAGCTTGGGTTCAGGTTCCGAAAGATTTTCCACATGTCTCAACTCACTGCAAAAATGAACGCGTCCTCAAAGGTGTTCTTGTCTGACAGGCGATGGTTTCAGTCGCTGCTATCGAGATCTCCTCACCCTCCGAACCTGAAGATCCATTGGCTGTGATCTCTTCTGCCAGGATGACGCAGCATCTCTCAACGTGCGCTATCACTTCCTCTGAACACACCAGCCGTCAGTGACTGCACCGTCACCATCCTCCCTCCTTCTCATCCAACTCTCTCTCCCCCTT